TGACATCCCGACCCCTCGCACCTACGCTGAGGCGACCTCGGGACCCTGGGCCTCTCAGTGGATAGCTACCATGGAGCAGGAGATAGCATCTTAGAGGGCTACCGGCACCTACGTCGACGCAGTTCCCCCACCTGGGGTGAACGTAGTCGATGGCCGGTGGCTCTTCAAGGTGAAGCGCCCCCCTGGAGAGCCGCCTGTGTTCAAGGCGCGCTACGTGGCTAGAGGCTTCAGTCAGCGTGAGGGGGTGGACTTCTTTCAGACCTTCGCCCTGACCCCCAAAATGACTACACGTAGCAGCATAGCGTGACTACGAGCTTCACTCCCTCGACTTCTCCACTGCTTTCCTTCAAGGCAGCCTACACGAGCATGTCTATCTGCGCCGCCCTCAAGGCTTCACCGGTACTTTCCCTCCTGGGACCCAGTGGCTCCTCCGGCGCCCCATCTACGGCTTGCGACAGGCGCCCCGTAAGTGGCACAATATGCTGCGTGCCACACTAGCTGACCTGCAACTTTTTCCGTCCTCTGCTGACACTTCGCTCTTCGTTCGTGCTGGCCAAACTCCGTTCTACATCCTGGTCTACGTAGACGACCTGGTCTTTGCTACAGCAGACAGAGACGCGCTGGCCTCCGTGAAGGCTGAGCTGCTGAGGCGACACACCTGCACTGACCTGGGAGAGCTGCGCCGCTACCTTGGCCTGCAGATCTCCAGGGACAGAGTAGCGTGCACCATCACTCTTACTGGTCCAGTGGTCCTTACTGCAGACCAGTGGTCCTTACTGGGCACACTGACGCTTCTTGGGCAGACGACGCTGAGACCCTCCAGTCCTCCGAGGGCTACTACTTCAGCCTTGGTTCTGGTGCCATCTCGTGGAGGTCCACTCGCTCCTCGTCTGTTGCTCAATCTAGCTGCGAGGCTGAGATCTACGCCGGTGCCATGGCGGCACAGGAGCTCCGCTGGCTGACCTTCTTGCTTGCCGACTTAGGTGAGCGGCCTAGCTCTGCCCCAGTTCTGTACGCAGACAGCAGGGCCATGATCCTCCTGTGTAAGGAGCCTCGACTTGAGGGCAAAGCGAAGCACATCCAGCTACGGTACTTCCTCCTGCGCGAGCTTCAGCAGCGTCGCCAGGCCCGCGTAGTGCACTTGGCCTCCGGTGCCAATACAGCTGATATCTTTGCTAAGGCGCTTCCGCCTAGAGATCATCAGCGGCACTGCTTGCAGTTAGGTCTAGTCCCTGTTGACTCTCACTTGCTAGGCCCTTGATTGTGTACTCCTTTCTATTTATGCCTTCTAGACTGGCCTTGTGGCTTTTCCTCCAGTGGTTGGACAAGTAGTGCCGCTCTGGTTTGCTCTGTCTTGCTTGTACTCTTGCTGACTGGTCTTTGGGCCCCTGCCTCAGAGGTTGGACTAGTAGTGCCACCCTGAGCTTCGTGTTTCTTGCTCAGCACTACCCTGTATCTAGCCTAGGGGGTGTGTCAACTTATACATATATTGTTATGTAGAAGTATTAGGCTAGATAGGGTATGTTCTTAGTGGGTACAACCCAAATGCTATATCTCCCCTGTTCTCCTTTCTTCTAATCATTCGTTCTAGTCTTAACAGGGGCTGCCTGCCTGCGTGGCAGATTCATTAGTTGGCATATTTCGAGGGTTTGGGAGTTATATGTTTCAGGGTGTTTTTTGGCGCACCCTGATTGGTCAAGGTAATAAGATGAAGACTCTTACTACAACTGGGTAAAATATTTCTTACACTTGTTGGAAAAGGGTTAGATAAATTTTGGCCTTACAAAATCAGGGTTATCCTGAAAAAGCGACCGCTGGCAAGGGTAATTAGGGTGAAACTCTTAGAACTGAAGAATTGTTGAATAGAGAGAGAGTACAAGGGTATATACCTAAGAGTGTTGTACCCTCTAAGAGACGACCCTATACAGTCTATACAAACATGACAAATACACATGTTTGACACACCCCCTAGACTGCATAGGGGAATGACCTGAACAAGCAGCTCAGGGCGGCACTACTAGTCCAACCACTGAGACAAGGGTCTAAAAGACCAGTCAGACGGAGTTGAGACAAGGCAAGAACAAGACCAGGGCGGCACTACTAGTCCAGCCACTGGAAGAGGACACAAGTCCAGTCTGAGTATGCATATAAAGGACAGTACAAAGTCAAGGCCCTAGCAAGTGAGAGGCTACAGGAACTAGACCAAGCTGTACGCAGTGCCGCTGATGATCTTTAGGCGCAAGCGCCTTCGTAAAGATATCAGCTGTGTTGGCACCTGAGGCCAAGTGTACTACGCGAGCCTGGCGTCGCTGCTGTAGCTCGCGCAGGAGGAAGTATCGCAGCTGAATATGCTTCGCTCTGCCCTCGAGTCGAGGCTCCTGACACAGGAGGATCATGGCCTTGTTGTCAGCGAACAGGACCGGGGCAGAGCTAGGCCGCTCACCTAAGTCAGTGAGCAAGAAGGTCAGCCAGCGGAGCTCCTCTGCCGCCATGGCACCAGCGTAGATCTCAGCCTCACAGCTGGACTGGGCAACAGAGGAGGAGCGGGTAGCTCTCCACGAGACGGCACCTGAGCCAAGGCTGAAGCAGTAGCCCTGGGTAGACCTGAGTGTCTCGGCATCGTCTGCCCACGAAGCGTCTGTGTGTCCAGTAAGGACCACTGGCCTGCGTCCTCCTAGCACTAACCCCATGCCCGATGTACTAGCAAGATAACGCAAAACCCTCTTAGCGGCAGACCAGTGCTGCGGTCGGTGTCTGCCTGTGGCCACAAAGCGAGCCAGGATGCTGAGAGGGTACGCGAGATCTGGGCGAATGCAAGTCATCAGGTACATGAGGCAACCCACCAGCTCTGCGTAGGGGCCGCTGGGCTCTACCGACTCCTCAGACACTGGAGCGGAGAGTCTGTGGTCTACAGGCAGAGGGGTGGGCTGTGCAGAGGAGAACTGAAGGCTGAACCTCTGAAGGACCTGGCGCACCAAGTGTGACTGAGTCAGGGTGATGGTGCGCGCAGCTCTGTCCCTGGAGATCTGCAAGCCAAGGTAACGGCGCAGTTCTCCAAGGTCAGTGCACGTGTGTCTCTTCAGCAGCTCTGCCTTCACTGAGGCCAGTGCGTCCCTGTCTGCTGTGGCAAAGACCAGGTCGTCGACGTAAACAAGGATGTAGAACGGAGTCTGGCCAGCACGAACGAAGAGTGAAGGGTCTGCGGAAGACGGAAAGAACTGCAGGTCAGCAAGCGTAGCACGGAGAGTGTCGTGCCACTCACGGGGAGCCTGGCGCAGGCCGTAGACGGGGCGTCGCAGGAGCCACTGGGTCCCAGGAGGGAAGGTGCCAGTGAAGCCCTGAGGGCGACGCAGGTAGACCTGCTCATATAGGCTGCCCTGAAGGAAGGCAGTGGAGAAGTCGAGGGAGTGAAGCTCGTAGTCACGCTGAGCAGCTAGGTGTAACAGAACCCGAAGAGTAGTCATCTTCGGGGTCGGAGCGAAGGTCTGGAAGAAGTCCACCCCCTCACGCTGACTGAAGCCTCTAGCCACGTAGCGCGCCTTGAACACAGGCGGCTCTCCAGCAGGGCGCTTCACCTTGAAGAGCCAGCGGCCATCGACTACGTTCACCCCAGGCGGGGGAACTGCGTCGACGAAGGTGCCGGTGGATCTCCAAGATGCCATCTCCTGCTCCATGGCAGCTATCCACTGAGAGGCCCAAGGTCCCGAGGTCGCCTCAGCGTAAGTGCGAGGGGTCAGGATGTCGAAAGCGTCTGGGTCACCCTCAGGGACTAGCAGCATGGAACAGAGATGGGGAGCAGCCTCGGACAGGAAAGCAAGCTCGAACTGGCGGTCCTCCAAGACGTCACTGCCAAGGGCAGGAGCACCCTCGACAGGCGCGGGGCCGGCTGGAACGGGCGCGGGGCCGGCTGGGACAGGCGCGGGGCCGGCTGGGACGGGCGCGGGGCCTGCTGGGACAGGCGCGGGGCCGGCTGGGACGGGTGCAGGGGCGGCCTGGACGGGCACGAGGGGCCGGCTGGGACGGTCGCGGGGCCGGCTGGGACGATCGCAGGGCCGGCTGGGACGGTCGCGGCGCCGGCTGGGACGGTCGCGGGGCTGGCTGGGACGGGCGCGGGGCCGGCTGGGACGGTCGCGGGGCCGGCAGGGACGGTCGCGGGGCCGGCTGGGATGGGCGCGGGGCCGGCTGGGACGGTCGCGGGGCCGGCTGGGACGGTCGCGGGGCCGGCTGGGACGATCGCGGGGCCGGCTGGGAGCGACGGACTAGGAAGCGCGACGGGCTAGGAGTCGCGCGACAGGGCCAGGAGGCACCAACGGGGGGGCCCAGGAGGGGCGTGACGGGTGCTAGGGGGCGCGACGGGCCCAGGGGAGCGTGACGGGGCCCAGGGGAGCGTGACGGGGCCCAGGGGGCGCGACGGGGCCCAGGGGAGCGTGACGGGGCCCAGGGGGCGCGACGGGGCCCAGGGAAGCGTGACGGGGCCCAGGGGGCGCGACGGGGCCCAGGGGGGCGTGACGGGGCCCAGGGGGGGGCGTGACGGGACCCAGGGGGGGGGGGTGCGACTGGTCCTAGGTGACGCGACGGGGCCCAGGGGGACGCGACGGGCCCAGGGGGGGGGCGCGACTGGTCCTAGGTGACGCGACGGGGCCTAGGGGGCGCGACGCACGGGGGTAGATCCTAGGGCGGAAGCGTGGGGGGGGCGGTGGGATCTACCTACTGCTGATACCATCTTAGAACTGAAGAATTGTTGAATAGAGAGAGAGTACAAGGGTATATACCTAAGAGTGTTGTACCCTCTAAGAGACGACCCTATACAGTCTATACAAACATGAGTTATACTTATGTTTGACAGAAACACCCTTCAAATTTGAGCCCTGGCAGGAATCTGGATGGCGAGGTGCTTGGGAGAGGTGCGAGAGTGCTGCGGGGGAGATTTGGTACAGCGTTTTCGCAATTCACCTGTTTTCTAAAACTAATTCAATGCGCTTATAGGGAATAGATTTTCTTAAAAGGGTGCGCGTACAATAAAATAACGGATACAAGCGCGTTTGCACTCTATAAGCCCACGTAGCTTAATAAATGGCTGCGCCTATATCCGGGTGATTACGGTATGCCTAAAAAACAACACATTTAGAAAATGCCGTTCACAAGGATTGTTACACTTCCACGTGTAATAAAGTAGTGCAATGCCTCACAGAGAAGAATAGACACCTCTCAATATCCACCCCGGGCTCTCTCAAACATGTTGCCAAATGAATAGTCAAACCTTCTAACTGGCCAATAATCTTTGCACGCCATTTTTGGGCATGCGCCTTGGGAAACGCCAAAAGGATCTGGCATGCAGGTGGCAAGGACTTGTTCTTCAGTTGTTTGGATAGTGTAGGGAGGTCTGAACCATCTAAGGAGAACTGTTGTTTGGGGAAGTGGATAAATCGAGAGGGAAGGAACACAGATATGGGATTAGGGTTCAGATGGATTGTTTTCCATCTACACCATCAGCTTTTGCATTGCCTCAAAAGAACCATATAAGGAGAACTGTTGGTTGGGGACGTGGGTGAATCGGGAGGGAACACAATATCGGAGTTAGGATGCAGAATAGTGAAGGAAGACAACTGCGCTGTGCTAACACCAAAGAAAATTGGTCGAATCAAGAGGGAGCACACTCAAACTGAGTCAGCCGGAATCACGCTGACTCAGTTTGATTGTAATCCTTCGCAAGTCTGAATCCACTCAACTGTAATCCTTCAGACTTGCGAAGACGATTGCGCTGACACAAAAGAAAATTGGTTGAATTAAGAGGGAACACGTGAGCAAGGTTAGCGTTTGAATTTGCAGAAGCGGCACTTACTCCCTTTCACACTCCATTAACGATGTCAGGAAGCCCGGAGGAATAGTACCCACCTTGACGACGTCAGCAGCAGCATCATCGGTGGAGGCGAGGGAGAAGGAAGCGAGGGGATGCACGGCGAGGCCGGGGAGGAGGGAGAGGAGGTGCGACTCCCACAGCTCAGCAGGCAGGGGGAGGTTGGACTTGGGGGAGGTTGAAAGCACCATGCTGCACAGAGGCAAGGAGAGGGCAAAGTAATAAGGAAGGCAGGGGGTTTGGGGGAAGAGGGATTTGAGGGAAGTGGAAAGCACCATGCTTCACCGAGGCAAGGAGAGGGCAAAGCAATAAGGAATGCAGGGGGAGGTGGGATGTGGGGGAGGTGGAAAGCACTACCCTGCAGAGATAGAGAGAGGGGGAGAGGGAGAGTCCATATGGAGGGTAAGGAAATCTTTGGCAAATGGAAGAAACAAACTAGGATTTGACAGGTGGGAGAATATCTCCGGTTCTAGAAAAGCAAGCTCAACTAATGAGGGGGATACTAGCAGGTGAATCAGAGGCACTAGCGAGGCTATAGGAAACGTGGCAATATTGTAAGGAGACTGAATTCACCTGTTAGGAGTGATAACAGCGAGGGCTGTGGGGAAGGACACCCCGTAAGATCCAACAATGGAAATCCTTCCGAGCAGTGATCGCACACACATGGCGGCCGGGGGAGAGGCGATCCAATGAGTTGAGTGGTTCTGGAGCTGGCAGTAGAAGACGGGTTCATGGGGCGGGGAAGGGCGATGAGGATGAGTGGTACCCTTGAGGGAAGACAGCCCCGGGGAGAGGCCAGCCAAGGGCCCCTCACACACCAAGGGCCCCTTACACACCAAGGGCCCCTCACACCAAAAGCCACTCACACACCAAGAGCCCCTCACCTGGCCCATCAGCTGCACGCTTTGCCGCAGGTTGGTCGACGTGATAGCTCGTCTCATGCCGCCCAGCCGCACCCCCACACAGCAGCATCCTAGTTGTCTAGGGTTTAGGGAGCTCCCAGGCGTGCCTGGCATCGCAGGGACACTAATGAAGCCATCAAAAGAAGACGCACCTGCCCCATCAGCTGCACGCATTGCTTGAGGTTGGTTGTAGTGATAGCCCTTCGCATGCCGCCCAATCGCAACAAGAGCCCCTCAAACCAAGAGACTGTAACTCAGCCATCTAAAGCAGAGCCCCTCAGACGCACCTGGCCCATCAGCTGCACGCATTGCCGCAGGTTGGTTGACGTAACAGCCCTTCGCATGCCGCCCAAGCGCACCCCCGCAGCAGCATCGTAGTTGTCAGCCCAGGCGAGCTCCCAGGGGTGTCTGGCATCGCACAGCTCTATGCTTCCTTCTCCGGTGTTGACAAGACTAGCTGAGGGCGAGCGAATCCAGTTGGAGGGAGGCGCCCAGGCGAAGTGGGAGAGAGCCTAATGGGCGGGAGGGAAGGGAGGGAAGGGGAGGGATGGGAGGGACGGGAGGGACGGGAGGGACAGGAGGGACGGGAGGGACAGGAGGGAAGGGGAGGGACGGGAGGGACGGGAGGGATGGGAGGGAAGGGGAGGTGGTTTGAGGGAAGAGGGAGACAGAGGTGGGTGTGTCAGTCAGCCGGGGCAAGCTCCTCAGCTGTTCACAAGGCTTGCTGATGACGAACGTATCCAGTTGGAGAGAGACGACCAGGCGAAATGCGACTGGTCCTGTAGAGGGGGGGGGGGGGGACAGGGAACGGCAGCGGCATCATAATTGTCAGCCCAAGCGAGCTCCCAGGGGTGGTCTGTCGTGGCACTGACTGGCCCCCTTCAGTTCAGGCTGAGGCTGGCACGTGACTGTAACGAAGCCACTGAATCTTCCTCGGGATTTATTAAGTGATAGTCTTACCTCTAGGCCCGTGTATTTTGGTGTGCAGGGCCGGCACTTCGCCCCGTTCAGGCTGGCAGGTGACTGTAACGAGGCCACCAGCACCTCCCCATGCCCGTGCTGGTAGGTCGAGTGGCTCACGGTGCACAGCGGCCAATCACCTCGCGCCACGTGGACGCCCGTGGCCTCCAGTTGGGCCTTGAGCGTTGCTTCGGGGGAGAGGTTACTGAGGGAGAGAAGAGAAAGTGGGGATGCGAGAGGGCGGCAGTGGGGGGAGGGAGAGAGGGAGGGAGAGATGGAGTGAGGGAGGGAGTGGGGGAAAGAAGGACACGTGTGGACTCCAGTTGAGCCTTGAGTGTTGCCTTTGGAGAGAGGTTGCTGGCTCTTGAAAAGAATGTGGGGACGGGAGAGGGGGGACGTGGGTGAGGGAGGGAACGAAGGAGGGAGGCAGACCCGCTCCACGTGGGCGACTTGCTGCACGTGGGCTATCAGTAAAAGAGCACGGGAAAGATTCTGTGACTTAGAGCCAGTGCTGGGACCCTTAGGCTCCTCCGGACTGGACCGGGCCGTCAGGGCTCACCTTGTATGTGCACTTGCTGTAACGATTTCTATCTAAGGGCGGATTCCTACGAAGTAGGATCTACCGGAAGAAGGATCAGAGCCAGCTGTTTGTAATGTTACAACGGGGTTCTGCCGAGCCCCGAAATGCGACGGTTTCGAGCAAAACAGCAAAGCCAACTGACATCAGCAGTCGGCTCACAGCCTATTTCCGCACGCAAGGCGCGCCAAATGTCTCGAGCAACACAAGAAGAGGTCGAGAGTGATACAAATTAGGGGCAGGCACGCAAAACATCTGTTTTGAGGCGCGTCAAAAAGAGAGATACAAATTAGGGGCAGGCACGCAAAACATCTGGGGAACGGGCGATAAAAGGGCCGTTCCTGCTATTTGGCGTGGTTGATTCCCGTGTAGTTTTCAAGCCTGGCGTTGACAGGCTGCCCTGATTTAGAGTGCTGGTTCTTGACGAATCAAGATGCTGGGTTGTGTGCTCGCAATGCCGACATGTTGGACTGGTTTGATTGGTCGGATAGTGCGACCGTCAGACTTGTGCGAGCCTGTACTGTTCGTTAGATCTTGGGATTGTAAAACATCAGGATCAAACCGGGCTCTGCCTTGGTTAGATTTAACTTTGATGTAGGTCCAAATTTGTAGGAATCCGCCCACCAATAGAGGGAGGGCGGGAGATAAGGACGCCTGTAGGCCCCTTCTGGACGCCTAAAAGATTCGACACTTCACGTTCCCAAGTCGGTTAGTTGAACCCACCTCTCAAGAATCAGCACTTCACACCAAACGTACGCACCTACCCCGGTAACCAGGACACTCACATACATACGCACCTACCCAGGTGGATTGTTTAGGCTCTTCGAAAGGCAGCAATTCACGCACCTGAGCCCTGTCTTGACAAGTCTTTCAAGAGACGAGAATGATTTTGAGTCGACTCAAAAGCAATTCACGTACCTGAGTCCTGTCTTGGCAAGTGTTTTGAGAGACGAGAACCGTGAAAGTATGTGTCGGGCAGCGGAAAGAGAGCCCACTCCAAAGGCGTCGTTGAAACCGGAAAAGTCAGACCCAAACGGTATGGCCCATTCCAGCTCCTGCTGTCCCGTACCAGCTGCTCCCTCTGCCGCCCTCTCTGCTTCCTCTCTTGCTCTCCCTTCTCCCTCTATTTCTCTCTTTACTCCCTTTGTTCCTCTCTCTACTCCCTGCCTTTCCTCCTCGGCTCCCTCTCCTGCCCCCTCTGTCGCCTCCGCTCCTTTCCTGGACCCCTCACTAGTTTCCCTGAGAACTCTCTCTGCTGCTGCTGACGCCCCGGCACCGGCCGAAGAAACAGTGGCAGCAGCAGGTGTGGAATCACTAGAGGCATCGGCAGAAGCAAAAGCAGAGGGAGAGAAGGCGGAGGAGAAGGAGGGAGGGGCGGACCAGTAGGAGTCAAGGCGAGAGTGAACAATGCGGTGGAAGAGAGGGGCGGAGGGGTTCTGGCGCTGGTAGCCTTCGATTAGGGAGAGGCACGAGGTGAGGAGTCTCAGGTACTGCAGCTGAGGCTGTGCTAGGTGGGGAAGGGGGGAAGGGAAGGGGGAGAGGGGAAGAGGGGGGAGGGAGAGAAGGGCGGGGGGGGGTGGGGACGAGAAGGCAGGCGACTATAATGGTAAGGCACGCGTTGAGGGGTCTCAGATACTGAAGCTGGGGCTGTGCTAGGGGGGGGGGGGGAGGGGAGAAGGGGGGAAGGGGGGGGGACGAGAAGGCGAATTGACGAGGGGTGGTGATGGTGGCAGGCGACTATAATGGTAGGGCACGAGTTGAGGAGCCCCAGGTACTGACGCTGGGACTGATCATGGCGCAATGCACTGGAAGGGAGGGGAGAGGGGAAGGGAGGGGATGAATGGAGTGAGGGAGATCATTGCCGTTAGCGATTCTTGAGAATTCTAAAAAATCACCTGCAACACGTGAGAATTCTCGAAAATCACCTACAACATGGAGGGGAAGGGAGGGGATTAATGGAGTGAGGGAGATCATTGTCGTTTATTATTTGTCTCTCCCTTATGGCGAATTAGGAGAGGTAGTGACCCTGGTAATCTGCTGCGAGGGAGAGACATCGGTTTACGACGGGTCAGGCAGCGGGCCCAGGGCCATTAGGGCGGAATAAGTAGAGCGGAGGGAGGGGAGAGGAGGAAGGAGTGAAGAGAGACGCGGAAGGCACAATCAGACTGCAACAAGAACTGCACTATTGAAAACACCAACCTGCATGCTTCTGGCTGTGGAGTTGTTGTATAGCATACTGTTTTCCACCACCTCCTCCCCGTCAACCCACACACTCCCAGCCATCTCCACCGCACCCAACTCCACCTCCCCTTCCCCCTCATTCTCCCCATCCGCTTCCTCCCCCAGCATCCGTCCTACTCTTCCTCCTCGCGTCTCTCCCAACCTCCTCCTCTTTCCTCCATTCTTCCCCTGTCCCTCTCCTCCCTCACTCTCTCTACTGTTCACATTTCCCCCTCTCCCCAGTTTCCTCATCTCCTTCCCCTCATTTCCCTCCACATTTCCCCCACTTTCCCCCTTTCCCCCAACTCCCCCCTTCTCCCCCGTCCCCAGCCCCCACTGCAGCGCCCACAGCTTGTGGCTGTGCTCGTCCAAGGGGGCAACGAGGAACAGAACGGGCCGGTACGGACGCAGGCTCGGCAGCAGCCGAGCCACGATGCTAGGCCCGGTAAGCTCGAAGTCACGCGCCGAACCAGTGAGGCACACTGCAGTGCGGCCGTTGAGGGTGGGCGTGGGGGCTTGGTTGCCGTTGCTGGAGGGGTCAGTGGATCGCTGCTGGTGAGGGAGAGTGGTCAACAGTAACAGTAAGGCAAAGAAAGGGGAGATTTTTCGTCAGGCGATTTTTTAGTCGACTCAAAATTCACCTGCTGGAGGGGTCAGAGGATCGTTGCTGCTGAGGAAGAGTGGTGCAACAGGATGGGGGTGCAATGTGCTAGAAAACGAACGGGGGAGAGGTGGAGGGGGGAAAGGAGAGGAGGAAGAGTGGGGGGGGGATCTGTGAGGTGAAGAGGGACAATTGTGTGCAAAGTCACGTGCCGACCCAGTGAGGCACACTGCAGTGCGCCCATGGGGGGTGAGCATGAGCGTTCAGTGGATTGTTGCTGGTGAGGGAGAGTGGAGCAACAGTAACAGGGTAAGGCAAAGAAAGGGGGGGGGGGGCGGAGGGGGGGGAAGGGGTGAGGTGGAGAGCGACTGCTTTTGAGTCGACTCAACAGGGAGGGGTCGAGGGGGGGGGAAGGTGCGAGGTGGAGAGACTCAGTTGTGTGTGAAGTAGCGAGCCGAACCGGAGAGGCATAATGCAGTGTGCTGGGTGGGAGTAGGCTTGGGGGGTAGGCTTTGGGGGTAGGCTTGGGGAGTAGGCTTGGGAGGTAGGCTTCGGGAGTAGGCTTGGGGGGTAGGCTTGGGGGTAGGCTTGGGGGCCTGGCCCTTTTCTTGGCTTTACTCACTCGTGGGTTGGAGGTGAAGCGACCCAACCCCAGGAATGTGCCGGCTTGCTGGTGAAGGGACGACCAGGAGAGGTGTTCAGGAGACGATGAGGCGGAAGGGTCAGAGGGGGAGTGGGGGATGACAGAAGGGGAGGGGGGGGGGTGTCAGAGGGGGGGGTGTGGTTTACTCACTCGTGCGTCGGAGAAGAAACGGCTCAGTCCCAGGAGACTGCCGGCTTGCTGATGAAGGGACGACCAGGAGAGAGATCCGGGAGATGATGCGGCAGAGGGGTCAGAGAGGGGTGAAGGAGAGGCGGAAGAGGAGAGGGGGGAAGCCTGTTGGGAGGACGTCCAGGATGGGTGTTGTCTGGAGGCGAAGGAGGAGGAGGCTGATGTGAGGGAGGCGATGAGCGCTGCTCTGGCTGCTGGTGACGCGAGTACACCCAGGGACTCTGGTGATGATGCCTGGTTAGGGGGGGGGGAGGAGGGGGAGGGGGGAGGAGAGAGAGAGGAGAAGAGGTGGGGATAAGAGAGGAGAAGGGGAGAACGATAGGCGCAGCTCTGGCTGCTGGCGAGGCGAGCACACCCAAGGACTCTAGAGGTGACATCTGGTGGGGAAGAGGGGAGGGGGAAGAAGATAAGATAGGCCTGCAAGAGGCTCAACTGAAAGTGGTCCTTGTGAAGAAAGCCCGTTCTGAGCGCGATGAGCGCGAACGCGCGAGCAGAGCGTAAGTTACGACTCAACTGAGTGGTTCTCGTGAGGAGGACGGTGCGTTACGAATCGGAGCGCGCGCGACGGCACGACTTTTGAGGCGCCTCAAAAGACGGGACGAGCACGCGTGGACACTTGGTGCTGTCAGATCAAAAGGCGGCATTCTTTCGCATCCGGACGGACGCCATCCACGTTTGAATGGGACGGCGACTGACGGCGAGCGGAACGAGTACCTTCCTGCATTTCTGTGCAAGAGGCCGGCCTCACCAGCAAGTGCTTGCTGACATTCACGGCGACGAGCGACGAGCACACCTAAGCATTACAGGCCATTCTTTGCATTCAATGTTGAGGTTACACAGTAAGTTACTGTGTAAAACGTCTCACCGGAAGCTCAAAGTAAGAGGAGTCACCCGGAAGTGTTCCATGTTGAGCGGGGCAGAGATCAGCCCACAGAAGCATCACAAGTACCGACCAGCAGAACCTACTAATTCTGCATTCTCACACGACGAGCACCACCGCCGCCGTTACTCGCAGGCGGCTGCCGTGATGCGGCAACCGCTACGACCGAGTCAGAGCCAGAGGCTACATTCTCACCTGGAAATGTTCCATGTTGAGCGGGATAGTGATGATCGCGACCAGCAGAACCGCCGCCGCCACTCTTAGGCAGCTGCAGTGACGCGGCACGCACGAAAAGGAATGCCGCCGTTTCCGCGGCGATGCTGTTGATTGAACCCACAGCTCGGAGTCGGCCTCTATATCGCCGTCGCTCGGCCAGAACGCGCAGTCGTCCGTCGGCCCGTTGATGTGAGTCAGAGTGCTCGGCCCGTTCTTCGACAAGTTGTCGCTGCTCTTGTGGGACGCCAACGCTCCTGATCCTTCGTCCATCGCTTCCATTCAATGGAATCGCCTAGAGTCTAACCAAATTGCTTCGTAACAGCCAAGAATTGGCTTCTGAAGCGACTCTGCTACAATGTAAATCCTAATCTTGTGTCACGCGACAAATTGAGGTCGACTAGAGCGTGCACACAAAGCGTTTTTGTTTATCCTGCGTGACACAAAACAACTACAAACGTTATGTCGCCCAGCTCGTCGCAGTAATTTCTCAGAGATGAAACCTAAAAAATTAGCAGTTCTAGTCCGTTGTGATGCCCTTTGATCGCTGCGTCAAACATTCATGTCCAAGTAAAACTAGTGTACGAGCTTGGGAGATGCCGAATTTTTTTCGCCGTCCCCGTCTCGTGCTGAAGTAGGTGAAGCAAACGCTGGATGAACGAAGTGACTACCAGAACTGGTAGTGACTGCCAGGTGATAGCAACTTTTACTCGACTTTTACTTCAACTTGATGCCGTGTGGTTCCCGCGATAACTCGCAAACACGTCAACGTTCTGGTCCAATACAGAACTGTACTAAATAATTACCGTCCTGCCTCTCTAAGGTAGGTGAAACACACAAATGAACACTGAAACTAGTCCAGGTGGTGGCAACTTCTCTAGTACACTTAGCTACCACAAGACGAGGCTCAAGAAGATGACAACCACTTATCAGGTTACACGTAATCCGCTTATCAGGTAATCTGCACAATGCCAGCAAGGAAATCCCGATGCATGAGGCCTCACACTGGGAATGCTCGACCACGCACCGCGTTTCCGACATTACCAAGGCTGATGAGCAAGAAGCTGTTTCTTTCGCCAACAGGAGCTGAGGTGTATCGCACGCATGACGACACTCGTTGAGCTGTCACCGCCATCGCCAACACCCTCACCACGCCGTGTGCGATCGCCATCGTTGGTGGTGGAGCAAGCATCCAGCTCAGCCGATTTGAGGCTCTGATTGGTGGGGGTTGGTGTAACTTAACTCCCTACAAGAGATTTCATTTTGCAGTATCAGGTCGTCTCCAATTCAACTCCTACCCAACATCTGCCTTCCCCAAGAGAACAAAACAAATTATCAGCATCATGAGCTGTTTAAAGCTCAGATCCCAAGTTACAAAGCGCTTGTTTTTTTGGGTTGCGTAGTGTAAGGAATTTTCCATTCCTTAACGAGTTACACCGCTATTGCGTACACCGATCCCACACGGCACCGCCCTAGCTTCGGCCCGAACACGTCGCACCGAACCATTCCGCGTCACTCCAAAGCGCGTCGCGTCCTCAGATGCCTTCTCTGAACCTGTTCAATCACGCGGCTAGGATTGCTCTGGTGTTCCTATATCGTGCTTCATTATTCCATTCTACCACATTCTGTTATTCTGAATCTCAACATTCGATTCCGCGCTACTCTGGTTAAACACTCATAACATCTGGTATTCAGAGCTTCTTTCCTAGCCTACCCATTTCCGTAGACGGGAAAACTTTTTCGGGTGGGGGGTGATTCTGTCATGATACACAATGGATTTGCCCTTGGTCCTCGGGGAAGGGTTACAGGTGCAGAGCCAGGGGGGTTATGGACGCACTTACCTGCTACTTAACAAGCCCTTTTAACTCAGTGGTTAGCGACTGAGTTCTGATATGGTATCGGAGCTGGGTGACCCACCTGGAGTCAATTTCCAGTGCGCACCGGAGAGGTGGCAACGCTGCAGAGGCACTTGTGTCTTCCGCCTACCCCAACGAAGGGGGGTGTCATGATACACGCTGGGGTTGCCCTTGGTCCTTGGGAAAGGGTTACAGGTGCAGAGCCTGGGGGGTTATGGGCACACTTACCTGCTACTTAACAAGTCCTTTTAACTCAGTGGTTAGTGACTGGGTTCGGATAGATTCGCTCACTGAGTTGCAAAGCGGTCGGCCGCGAATTAGACGAATTAATTCGCACGATTACGATAGCGTTTGCGCTCTTACATGAGCACGGGTAATCATGTATATTCTCCTGCCCACCCGGCGTAATGTCCGCCACATGGACCAAGCACAGTTTGACAAGTTGTTGGCAAAATTTGCCACCATGGACGCTCGCCTGGAAGCTGTGTTAAACTACAACGAAAAGCGTCGCGCCGAAGTTACCGAACTTCGCCAGGCGCAAGAGAATATGCGCCAGACGTCGCCCGCCCCTGAGGATGCCGCCAGCACTGGACGTGTCGAAAATGTAGTGGACGAAATCGCACACGAAGTGTCGCAGGAGCGCCGTGATGAAAAAGCTGAAGCAGCAATGAATGCCGCTGCACATGCCAAGGCAACTGCAGCAGCTCCGACAACGCTGCCATCCACTTCGAAGCAGCAGCAACAGTTTCTGCAGCAGTCGCAGCCACTCCGGCTGCACCAGTAGCCAAGCCGCCAATGCCGGCCCCTTTTAAACCCGTTGACAAAAACACCACCATAATGAGCTGGCTTTTTGCGATGGAGCTTTATTTTGAGGCTGTCGGGATTACTGTTGACGATTTAAAAGTCAAACTGGTTGTTTCACTACTGAGGGGACCTGCACTGGATTGGTGGCGATTGGATCGATCGAGATTCGCACGTGGATAGCATGGGGTACAGCTCTGCGTAAACGTTTCGAGTCCATATCCGCCTCGAACAACGCACGCACGAAGCTAGACACCTGGCGCTAGTTGACCTCTATCCAGCATTATGCGCCATCATTTCAGGCACTGTGCGACCAAATCACCGACCTATCGGAAGCTGAGAAAAAGAACCGATTCATCATTGGGCTCAAATCCGACGTTCGCTACAAAGTGAGGATGCGATGCCCAGCGACGTTCCAGGAGGCTGTGGTGATCGCCAACCTGTGCGATGCCAGTAAAAAATATGCGACATCGGGTTCCCGGAAGGAAAGTCATTTTCGTGGCCAGGATCAACAACCCTCGATCAACGGCATAGTGGCGAATGACGAGGATATCGGAAAGCGATAGCGTTTTCACTGCCACCAGCCGGATTAGCGATATGCTGACTGCCCTGACCGGAAGCAGAGGAAAAACAACGATGGGGATAAGCCGGGAAATGATTCTTGTTAGTATCAAACGGGCTCCCTGCTATCACTGGTAGAAGGACGGGCTAACGGAAAAAAATAAAATATTTATCGATGCTGGCGTGAGCCACGACCTGATCCACCGACCGACGACAGGAAAATTAAACTTACTCTTGGAGCGATGTCTGCCCGAAATTGATGTCCGATAGGTCGACGGCACCCCGCTGGCGATACGCGATCGCGTGCGAATTGTTCGCATGAAGTGTGGTAACAATTTTGGCTTCAGCGTGCTGATGCTGGCGACGATGCTCGACGGCTACGATGTGCTGCTGGGACGAGATTGGCTTCAGCGACACAATCCGCAGATCGATTGGACGACAGGCGAGTGCACAGTGAAGTGCGCGAATGGCTGGCAGAAACTTTCGAGCTGGCAAGGAGCAGAACCGATAATGACACGCGTCAACGCAATTACGCTGACACGTGCGGTCAAGAAAGGTGTGGACTTGTACACTGTCCATCTGAAGGAATCGACGGGGGACAATCAGCCGACCGACATCGACAAGCTCTGCGCACCAGTGCCCGAAGATCTGGCACAACTGACTCGTTATTTTCCAGAAAAATTTCCGAATGATCTGCCACCTGGACTGCCACCTGAACGCCCTCAGGACCACCGTATCGAACTGGAACCTGGCACGCAACCAACTGTTCGGACACAGTGGCAGCTCACGCAACCCGAGCTCCAGGAATTACGGGACCAGCTAAACTACTTGCTGGCCTAAGGACTCGTTCGACCGAGCACATCCCCAGTCGTCACCCCAACCCTGTTCACACCCAAGAAATATAGGGGCCTCCAGATGTGCATTGATTATCGTGCCCTTAATTGGGTTACGATAAAATCTCGCTACCTAATCTCACATGCGGACGAACTGATTGACCAGCTGCACGGCACTCGCTATTTCTCAAAGATCGACCTTCGCAGCGGTTACCACCAGATTCGAGTCTCCACCGACGATTGCCACAAGACCACATTTTGTACTTGCTACAGGAGTTACGAATACACAGTCATACTGTTTGGGTTAACTAATGCCCCCTCGACGTTCCAGCTGATGGTGAACGGGGTATTTCGGGATCTACTTGATAAATGTGTTATCATTTATATGGATGATATCCCGATTCACACCACGACACTGGAGTAGCACTTAAGATCGCCTTTAGAAGTTTGGACGACATCAAAGTTTACCCACACGACACGGTTCTGGGTATCTGTCGGTGACCGAGTGGAGCAGTACGCCACCCTGGACAAAGCGTTCAGCGAACAGCTGTGTGAGTAAATGCAAAGTGTTTGAAACATTGCGCGACCAGCTTCCCATCTCGACAAATCAGAGGTCGGGGACACTACCATAACGACCGAGTTGGTTTCGTAACATAGGAACCCCCCCCCACTGCCACATCTGACAGCCAACGCATGCGACAAAATCTCTTTTTGAAAATCGTCAACCATCCCTTCCTCTAAGTGCTCCAGGATGTCATGGTTAATACGGAAGATTTCCACGAATGTGGCCTCGTCCATGTCATCATTCCGTTCAATCCATTCTGCCATCCTAGCTACTCGCGCGGATTTGTAGCGTCGTGGCTTGAGGCGGCGTGCTTTCGCCCTGCGAACTGCTGACTCTGCTGCAATAGTGTCTATTGCCTCCACTGCTAGCTGAGCAAGGATGATGTCGATAGCCACTTCTTCAATTCTCTGCCGCAACGACTACTGCTATTTCTAGCGGGCTCGCCATGGTTTGTGTCTCGATATTTGCTTCTCGATTTGGTGGTTCTACTTTTGTACTTGTGTCCTGCTTGCATGTTGGGTTGGGTAGGGCGAGGGGTTTTTGCATGATTGCATGTGGGTTTTTTTTTTTAACGGCGCGTGTACTTTGAGGGAAGCGGTTGGACGTTTCCGTGACGTCGTTCTTTCACATATGGTTGCTGTGGGGTCGCATGCCAGCACACTCTTGATAGAGACCCTGTTCTGTTTTGGTCCTGCAGCGATTTTGCACGGATTGCAACCGTCAGGTTTTGGATTGCCCAGAGTTCGAGTGGGATGTCCGGACATTGCAATGTCAATTTTCCAAACCCGAGTCGCGTGGGTAAACTTTGGTGTCGTCCAAACTTTTGAAGGCGAACTAAAAGACCTGGAAGCGATTTTTCAGTGCCTGAAGCAGAATCGTCTTATCACCAAAGGCTCCAGGTGCGAGTTGTTTAAACCGAAACTGGAGTTTTTGGGGCATTTCAAGGGAAGGCGTGAAAATTGACCCCCGTAAAATTCGGGCCATTCAAGAATGGAAGCCGCCAACCAACCTCAAGGAGGTGCAATGGTTTTTGGGGTTCGTCAATTATGTGCACCGGTTTATCCCCAACATGGCGGGGTTGACTAGAGAACTAACTGACCTACTTCATAAGGCCACTGAATATAAGTGGGGGGAGTAGCATTTGACGGATTAAAAAATGTTTTAATCTCGCCACCAGTACTTCGGATTGCTGACCTGGAATGACCATTTGAGGTCATGACAAACGCA